GATGATGTTGAGATGCTCATAATTGGCACACTATAACTGCCGGGAAGTAATTTGATTTTATGCTCCTGAAATTATCGTGCATTTGGGTTTACTAGGTTATCAAACCAAGTGTTGTTGGTGGCTTTGAAAAGGCAGCACTAATCGCACGATGGGCACAACAAGAAGGGAAGATGGCTATTGTTAGTGCTGCTTTCGAAAGTGGATTAGCTCTATCCACATATATGCTTTTCTCTTATTACGTAGACAGGCACCAAGCTGCTCTTCACAGAGTTGGACCCAGTCCGTCAATAGCTCATGGCCTTGGAACTTACCGATGGCTTAAGCAAGATATAACCACCCGACGCTTGCGAATGAGTTCTGATCCATGCACTAGGTCAATGGGAGCTTCTACAATTGATGCTATTCAACACTTGGAACAGTTTCAACTTGATGACAGCATTATCTGCAGAACTTTTAATGGAGAGCAAGTTCATAGGTACACCACCACTGTGAAAACGAACGAGTTATCTTTCTCCATCAGAATGCATGAAGTTGGACACGCACATGATGTAAGTATGGGGAGCTTGCATTGTGATTAATGCCCCAATGGGAGTCAATTTGGTATTCATGTGTCTCTTATGTTCAATCTGTTTTTGAAGGGAGATATTGTAGTTTTTCTTCATGGATTTCTTGGAACTGGTGAAGACTGGATCCCTATAATGAAGGCCATCTCAGGATCTGCGAGATGCATTTCAATAGATCTACCTGGGCATGGGGAAACAAAGGTGGAAAAGCTTGGCGACATGGAAGAAAATCATGACTGGTCTTTGTCAGTTGAAAGAGTTTCTGAGTTATTGTACAAGTTGATTCAAGATCTAACTCTTGGAAAGGTCACTCTTGTTGGATATTCTATGGGAGCGAGGATTGCATTGCATATGGCATTACGGCTTGGTGATAAGGTACACTGTTATCAAGTGCAATACTACATTCGATTTGGATATAACAGTAAAATTTTAAAGTAATTTCGTTTTGCAGATCAATGGAGCGGTCATATTATCTGGTAGTCCTGGGCTAAACGATGAAATGGCTAGGAGAATTCGGAGGGCTAAAGACGATTCTAGAGCAAGGAACCTCATTACTTACGGTTTACAGACCTTTCTGACGTCTTGGTACGCTGGGAAGCTATGGAATAGGTGAGTTTATTATAATTGTTATTTCCTTTTTTTTGTGAGAAAAAAGGTGAGCTTATTGGATATTTCTATGTTCCCGACTATTTACGTTTATACATCCTTCAAGTCTTTGACACAACCTGGATGCCTGCGTGTTCCTCCTTTCAAACAGCTTGAGATGTCATCCTCATTTCAAGGAAGTCGTCGACAGTCGCTCTCTTCATGGTGATGCTCAGAGCCTTGCAAGTGCTCTATCTGACCTAAGCATAGGGAGGCAGGAGTAAGTCTGGACGAACAACAATTCCCTTTTCCTTCGTACTCTGCTGCAGCCAAACATTGCTAGAATCTAAGTTGCCTTGCACTTCGGAACTTCTCACGTCTCTTTCTGACAGGCCATTGTGGGATGACTTAAAGCACTGCAAATTACCCTTACTGTTTGTCGTGGGAGCACAAGATGATAAATTCAAGGCGATTGCACAACAAATGCTCGAAGAAGTTGAGCAAGGTCAGAACGAGGGAGGTGCCACAGGCAGTAATACCAGTGAGATACTTGAGGTACAAGAAAGCGGCCATGCTGTCCATTTGGAGAACCCTCTTCCTCTCATCCGTGCACTGAGACGATTCATGACCAGAGTAAGGAATAGCTATGGTTGAGACTTGAGACTCGAATCAAGTAGATGCGGGAACAACCTGCCTGTGACAAGGTGTGAAGGCGGCAAAACTTAGCTAAAGGCATTGGCTCCATCTTCTTCTCAGCACATGATCTTGAACTTCATGCTGTCTCACAACTTTTACCAGTCCTGATTATGGAAGGGGAAGAACGATATAAAATGAAATTAGAACGATGACTTTGGTGGCGAAAGGGCTCTTTCTTTATTCCAAATTTTATTGGGCGTTGACTTTACGTCTTAGCATAGGACGTTGAATTGGCTACTCGATCTTTTATTAGACGAAGGGGTGGAAATTGAGGTGGGTGTGGTTACCCGCCCCACATTTTGCGGGTAACTACACCCACAAGCCATAAATATAGAATTATCTTACCCACAAGCCGCTGTAGGTTGGTGCGGGTTAGTTGTGGATACCCACAAAAATTTCACATGAAATATAATAGGGTAAATTGCAAGGTTGGTCATTGAGATTACTATAAACGTCCACGTATGGTCATTAGAAATATTTAATTCCATTCGTGGTCACTAAAATTACTAAAATAGTTCAAGTTTAGTCACTTTCCGTCCAACTCCGTTAACTTTTGCTTATTTGGCGGTCAACTCTTATAGTTGACCGTTAAATGTGTGACATGACAATTAAAAAATAATAAAATAAATAAAAATGAATTTTTTAAGTTTTCCACCTCTACAACTATTAAAAAATAAAACAAAATTCATTTTAGTACTAGCCGCCGACCCGCCGTCACCAGCGCCATGGACGTGCTGCAAGCAAAGTGCGAATCTGGGTTCTACGCCACGACGGCGAAACTGATCGCCGGAAAATGGATCAAGTTCGGCCTCAAAATCGGCGTGGTGCTATCCAAGGGAACTCCAATTGTGTTCACATTTTGTTGAATTATTATTATGAAATGTACAGAGGAAAAAGAGAGAGCCAAAAGCACAACCAACCCTGGTTGTGATTTTCGACCTACTTTCCTCCAAAAGTTTAATTTCCCATGAAACAGCCACCACCACTATTAGTATAATCACCTACTTATACTCACTCCCCAATTTCCCTCCATCTCCTCCGAACCTTCACCCTCAATTTCCCTCTGTCGCGACCAACCTCAATTTCCGCCATGGGGGTCACTGCTTCGCAATGGGAACTCCGGTCAACCACTACCAAGCCCCGGTCACCATCGCCGCCGCCTCTCCAGGTTTTATTTCGTCCATTGCATATCGTCCTACAATCCCTTGAAGATTCAACGACCGTTTGTTGCTTTTAGTTGTCGGAAATTGAAATTCTGTTGGGTTGTTGTTCGATTTGGCAGAGTTTCGTGCGTAGCGGAATAATAGCAGCAGCCAGCAATGACGTCGTTGAGAGAGCCAATAGTAATGGCGGAGATCACAGTACTAAAGGCGGTGAACCGACGCCACCGGTGGGTAATACAAGGAGGTCGAGCTTGCAGATCTTCAAGCTGACAGGCTTGAAGAGCGAGACGAGGAATTTTCAACCGGACAAGGTGCTCGGGGAGGGTGGGTTGGGACGGTTTACAAAGGCTGGATCGACGGGAGAATTTGGCGTCGCCGTGACGTGGAACCCAGATCCACATTGTGCTTGCGGAACGTCCGACAACTAAATGGATATATTTTTTTTAATAGTTGCAATAAGCCAATAATAAGTGGAGAACTTAAAAATAATTTTTATTTATTTATTTTTAATTGTCATGACACACATTTAACGGTCAACTATAAGAGTTGACCGCCACATAAGCAAAAGTTAACAAAGTTGGATGGAGAGTGACCAAACTTGAACTGTTTTACTAATTTTAGTGACCACGAATGGAATTAAAAATTTCTAGTGACCATACGCGAACTTTTTTAGGGGACTAGATACTATAACAACACTCCTTGTGTTGTTATTATAACAACATTAGTCTCCAACCAATAGGAAGCTAGGGATGTGATGACTTTTTATTAGATGAGTTGACTTAGTGTAAAATCAAAGCAGGGGTATAATTGTCATTATGAAAAATATGTTTAAATAATAATAAAAAATAAAATAAAAAATATTTTTTTATTTTTCGGCCAAAAATTCTGGTCGCCGGAATCTGGTCGCCGGTCACCGGAATATGCTTTTTGTCGTCGGAATATGCTATTTTGTCATCGGAATATGCCACCGCCGCCGGAATATGCTCACCGTGGTCGGAATATGCTTATCGGCGTCGGAATCTAGTCATCGGGGCCGGAATATGCTTATCGGCGCCGGAATCTACTCACTGACGGTCATCGGAGTTTGGTCAACGATTTTCGTTGACCGGTCAACGGTCTTCGTTGACCGGTCAACGGACAACGACCACCGGATGTTATGGTCTGCATTGTGAAATTTATGGTTTGGTTTCTCATATTTTTGTATGCCTTTTGTGGTTTGCTTTATCGTGTTTGTGGTTTGCATTAAGAAGTTTCTGGTTTGCTTTATCGTGTTTGTGGTTTGCATTGAGAAGTTTCTGGTTTGCTTTCAAAAAATTTGTGGTTTGCTTTGCGGGGTTTCTGGTTTGTTTTAATAGATTTTTGGTCTGCATTAGGACGTTTCTGGTTTGTTTTTGTGGTTTGCTTTATCGTGTTTGTGGTTTGCATTATGAGGTTTCTGGTGTGTTTTTTAAAATTCTGTGGTTTGCTTTGCGGGGTTTCTGGTTTGTTTTAGTAGATTTTTGGTCTGCATTAGGACGTTTCTGGTTTGTTTTTTTGGTTTGCTTTAACGTGTTTGTGGTTTGCATTTTGAGGTTTCTGGTGTGCTTTCAAAATATTTGTGGTTTGGTTTAGAGAATTTGTGGTATGCATTCGAACATTCTGTGGTTTCTTTACCGTGTTTGTGGCTTGCATTAGGGGGGAGGGGGGGGGGTTCTAGTATGCTTTTCGAAATATTTGTGGTTTGCTTTGTGCGATTTCTAGTTTGTTTTAGAGGATTTGTGGTTTGGATTAGGAGGTTTTTAGTATGCTTTTTGTGTCTTATTTTATCATGTTTGTGGTTTGTTTTATAAAGTTTCTGGTGTGTTTTAGAAATATTAGTGGTTTGCATTCTTGTGTTTTTAGTATGTTTTTCGAGACTTGTGCTTTGCATTTGAAGGTTTCTGGTATGCATTTTGTGGTTTGTTTTACCATATTTGTGGTTTATATTAGAAAGTTTTTGATGTGCTGTTGGAGAAGAATCGGCACCGTCTCTCAATAGTGACTTCCTGCAAAGTCATACTTTGCAAAATCAGAGGCAAAACCCAAACCCCCCAAAAGCCATATCCACTCTCCCAAGTCCCAAGGAAGAACCCTATAACCAATTACACCAGTTCTTATATCAGGAATCGGCCTTTCAAGCTCTGATGCTTCAACTGCTCGCTTGTTCAATATCTGCTCAAACACCAACAACACAATTGAATTCAAATAAGAATCAGGAGTGAACTTTTGACTCTGCTTCTCATCATTTAACAATCAATCAGAAGCAAACCACCACATAGCGACCAATAAAACTGTGTAGATAGAAAGAATAGATTAGGATTCGTTACCCCCATAACATCCCCAAGCCTGACTCTTGGCTGCCATGGTGTTTTCTCAACTTCTTCACCCTCCACCGAAGCTCCTTCTTCTCCTTCAACATCCTCACTAGCTTCCGCAAGCTCTGCTCCTCCGTCTCCTGCAAGTTCACCGCTACTTCCTTCCGCCTCTGCCCTGGCGACAACTCTGTGTCTGGTGAATGCCGCGACAAGTTCAGTAAGAGCCAACTCTGTGTCTGGGGAAATCGAAACCCCAGAACCGGAAATGCGGGAAATCGAACACTAAGCAGAGCACCCCTAAAGTTGGAGATTTCCTATAGCATAATCTTCCTTACAGACGCCCTAATCCACCAAAATCCCCTCTATTCTAACAAATCAATCAATTAATTGACACCTAATTAAAACAAAACCAGCACACACATACAAAAACAGAAAACCCTCACATAGCGAACAACAAAACCAACAACCCCTCGCACCTGAGCTTTATCAGCGAGCTGAACGACCAGACGGCCGACGGGGAGAGGGGACTCGTAGGTGAAGCTGTAATTGATGCACTCGGATCGCATGTACCGGGAGAGAACTCGCCCGTCGGCGGTGAGTCCAGCAATCGCAACGCCGATGTGGTCGTCGACCTTGAAGATCTTCCGCTGATGGGAAGAGAGCTATGCGGGAAATCGAACAGCAAGCGGAGGAGGGAATGGCGGCGGGATTAGTTGAGCAATTAAACCCCAGTCTCCTTGCCGGCGGGGATTGAGCGGCGGCGTGATTTATCGGAATCGTAAGCAGCGCTTGAGGAAGAATTTTGGAACGGAAATCTTGCCGATGGCGAACGAGAGAGTGCGGCACCGACGGCAATCTTGCCGATGGTGGATGCGAGAGTACGGCAGAGAAGCGCCAATGAGGGATATCGGAGGAGAAGAGATCGAGAGGCGGAAAGGGGAAGGCTGGGATTGAAAATTTATTTTTTTAATTTTATTTCTTATTTTATGTTAATTTACCCTTTTACCCTTAATGAATCTTGTTGTTAGTATAACAACACTAGGAGTGTTGTTATACTATCCGCACCCCTTTTTTAGTAATCTTAGTGACCAATCTTGTAATTTACCCAAATATAATAATATGGTAATTAAATAGTGATGTTGTGTTTCTTCTCAAACAAAAACATACATAAAAGAAAGTTAATAAAATGTTAAATAAATTATAAATCTCGAATACAATAGGTTACTTAGTGTCAATCTAGAAGAGATAGATTTGGAAAGAGGTTTGAAGATAACGGAGAGGCGGAGTGACTTGTTACCAGGCAAACATAGTTGCATGTCACGGTTCCTCCGATGGTAACAACAACAAAACACAAAAGTGGCTCGATAAGTGGAGGCGCTAACTTTTAATGAATCGATTATTCTCCACTCTCGATTATAGTATTGTATTGTTGGTAGCTGGTTGCATGTTGTGTTGTTCGTGAGTTCGTAGAGAAATGGAGATGAGTTTGGGTATCAGACTAATCTTTATCGATTATTCCCTCTTTTAACGAATCGATTAATTTATTTGATTAGATCTATGGACTTGATTTTGTTATAAAATAAACATATACCACACATACAATGCTTATTTGATAAAAGTATATCACATGAACATTGCGTATTAACTTGTTTTTGTATAGAATAAGTGCATATTTGATTTTGGTAGCTACTTTAATTCTTAGTCTTCCAAATTTCACAAACTAATATAACTAATGTGGTTAGTAAGGGTTACAAAGTATTTTGAAGAAATAAATATAACTAATGTGGTTAACCACTACCCACAAAAATCAATATTTTGCTACCCACACCCAACCCACTATCCACAAATTATGGGTATGGGTATCCACAAAGTGTGCGGTTTGCGGGTTATCCGCAACCCGCAAACCAAACTTCCACCACTTAAGACGATACGAGTTATCTTTTATTAAACGTGAAAGGAATAAGAAATTGATCATAAAATGAACAAAAACCGAAAAGAAAGACATGATATGTTATACCGTTATAGTATGGGGGCTCACTCCCTTTCAATAAGAAAGTGAAAATCCCCAACAATGGAGCCAAAATTTGATATGTTATGGTATGAGGCTCAAATATAATTGGTTGGTAATAAGACCATATTCCCATAAGACCTTTCAAATCCTGCAACTCATTCCGTAAGGATCTTGTTATCTTTGAAAAATCTTATTTGAGGTTGAGGTTCTCAAGTTTGTAACCATTTTGTAAAAGTAAAGAGTGCATAAAAAGAAGGGTAAATACAATTTAATATCCAAACCTTTCATTTTAAACAATATAATAGCCAAACCTTTTCGAAAACAATCTAATATCCAAATCGTCAACTTTTCGACCGTTTGACCGTTGGTTGACACTTCAAAAAAGTTTTGTTTAGGGGAAATTGTCACAATACAACTTTGTTTTTTTGTTTTGGCATTGCAGATGACTGAATATTTAGATATTCTATACCATCATGGTGGAGTATGGACTTCTCGGGTTTGGAACCACGATATGTTGGTGATTTTTCAGAGAAGATATCGATGGATATTGATGAAGCGTCGTACTTCGAACTTTTTTGAAGTGTCAACTAACGGTCAAACGAACGGAAAGTTGACGATTTGGATATTAGATTGTTTTCGAAAAGGTTTGGCTATTATATTGTTTAAAATGAAAGGTTTGGATATTAAATTGTATTTACACTAAAAAGAAATAACAGTGAAGGAAAGAAGAAAAGCACAAAATAGGAGGCGTTGTATAGGCAAACTTCCTCTTAGAGTTTTCTATACAAGTGTTAGCACCAAGATTAACATATATCCAGGCAATGCAGTCAAAATCGTGATTCTACATAGAAGCGTTTTGGTGACATAGAAGCATAAAAATGTGAGCTTTTAAGCTTTACAACATAGATTTTTACTACTTTTACAAGTGAAAGTGCGATTCTATGTAGAAGCGTTTTGGTGACCTAGAAATGTAAAAGTGTAATATTTTAAGTTTTAAAGCACGATTTTAACTACATTGTATACAGGTGCTTGAAGCAACTCACACGGATTCCTCTACTCACTATTTTCCAATATCCTATCATCAATGGTTGGTCACTGAGATTACAAAAACGTTCGTGTTTTGTCACTGGAAATATTTAAATCCAATCTTGGTCACTCAAATTAGTTAAATGGTTCAAGTTTGGTCACTCTCCGTCCATTTTTGTTAACTCTAGCTTACGTGGCAGTCAACTTTCATAATTGACCGTTAAATACGTGACATGTCAATTAAAAAATTATTAAAAATAAAAAAAACTTTTATATTTTCCACCTCATTATTACATTCATTAAAAAAAAAACTAATTTCTTTTCTACACACCTCATTAATGACCTCTATTTGGAATTCATCATTCTCCTCTTTCTCATCCTTTTTCACCCTCACTATCTCCACCACTACCCATGAGATCGCGGCCGCTGACTCCTCTCGTCAGGCAGCTCAACGACCACGTCAATAAGGGATTCGTTGTTCAATTGATTGATTACTCGTGCTGCGTTGTTCAGAATCGCAGGTGAGATTCTCATCCATTGGAGGTTAAGTGTTCGATTTTCCTAGTTATTGCTCGTTTCTGGTGTGGTTTGGTCTGGTGAGTTTGCAATTGCGTTCTACCATATATTCACTACCACCCAGCTAGCGATCCTCCTCTCCCATCGCCGCAAACATTTGAGCTCACTACCACCCAACACCCCTCTATAAAACCCCCCACAACCATATCTTCTTCTCAATTCACAAATCACAAACCTCTGTACTTCCTCCATTCAAAGTGAAAATGGCCTCTATTCGGAATTCATCATTCTCCTCTTTCTAACCCTTTTCACCCTCACTATCTCCACCACTGCCATGGGAGAGGAGGATCGCTAGCTGCGGCGAACGGAAAGAATGATGGTGCCTTGTCGGAGGTTGTGTTCTGGTGGTGGTGAGGTTGGGTCGGGTAGGGTATGGGGTATGTAGAAAAGAAATTAGGTTTTTGTTTTTATTTTTTTAATGAATGTAATAATGAGGTGAAAAATATAAAAGTTTATTTTGTAATTTTTAATAATTTTTTAATTGCCATGTCTCGTATTTAGCGGTCAACTATGAAAGTTGACTGCCACGTAAGCTAGAGTTAACGAAAATGAACGGAGAGTTACCAAACTTGAACCATTTAACTAATTTGAGTAACCAAAATTGGATTTAAATATTTCCAGTGAACACAAACGTTTTTTGTAATCTCAGTGACCAACCATGCAATTAACCCAACAATGTATCTCCAATTCCAATGGTACGCAAACAATTTAAAAAAAATAAAATATCCTTGTTACAATTAATCCACATCAACACATCAACAGTATAATTTATAGCTGAAAAGTAAAACTGCCACCCCCATTCAAATTTTCCTGTCCATAGAGTGATTTTAGGAAGCTGATGTGGCAGGGTGTTGAGCGGGAAAAAAATAGAACTCCCCGCCAGATTGCAGAATTAAGAATCGTCCACTACCCACCTTTTTCTCCTGGTTTCCCACGTTATCATTTAGTTATCATTTATTTTTCACTTAATTTTCGTTTGGCTGAAATACCACCTTTTCTACTGGGTTATCCTTTCGCCTACCCGCAGGACAGGAGGAGAATCAGTTTCCATCGGAAAATTCTGGTAAGAGGCGTCACGGTTTCGTGTTCAACGGAGGAAGGCGCTGACGGCCGGCTGTTGCTGAGTTCATGGGAAGACGACCAGACGTTTTGGTGGTCAGTGGCGGAAAGCAGTGACGTCCCGCTTCTGCTGCGACTGAGGAGATCGCGTTTGGGAGTGCAGCGAACGATCTCCGTGGCGAAGAGGTTGGCGACGATCGAGACTTTCCCTTCCGGCGAGAAGCACAACTACTGCCGCCGCCACCACCGTCTCCCCCGCCGCCACGAACCCTGCTTCTTCTTTCTTCTCTGCTTCAGCCTCTAGAAGGTCGCTACAAATCGCTCCAGCTACTCGCATCCGTTGAGGAGCCATCGCCGCTGGGCTCGATGCAGCTGCTGTGGCCACCGCCGCCATCAGCGAAGCGCTCATCATCCGCTTCTTATCCCACCCGCTGTTGGTTGTGAGATGGTATGTGTAAAATGGAATCATGGTAATTACTTGGCTCTACTCATATAGGTAGGCTATATTTGAACCTCAAGGGAAGAATTCTCTTGCCACTTTTTAAGCTTTTTGTTTAGGTTTCCAACGTCAATGTGTGCCTGCTTTATGTCAACATAATCAAGCTTAATTGAAAGCAATACTTCCCACTTTGTTCACTCAATTTTTCTGTGTTTCACGGCTTTCTTATCTAACTTTTTTGTTTCTAAATTGCCTTTATTTTGGATATAACTTGCAGTTTAGGCTATGTAATCGACAACTAATGATTTAATCCATGACCTTCGGAAGAACGGTTTGAGTTTACATTTTCCTTATATCATTAGTTCTTATAAGTAATTTGTTGAGTTCTTATGCTAATGTACAATCTCTTTTTTCTTTTTTTCATTTAGTAGTTTGGTCCAAGAAATCATGTGATCATTAATTTTTTCTTTAGGATCACCAGGTTCATCGATTTAGTTTGCCAATCAAGCATTTAACCTTCGTTTAGTTCCTAATTG